TGGTTTTGAAAAGTTTTACATACTACAGTCCAATTCATTAGATGTGTCTTCTTCATTTCAAATAGAATCAGCTCACATAGAATGAAAGGATTGGCAACCAACAAAACACTTGTTAATAGAACTTGTCAATCTTTAAGATGCCACAAAATCTTTTGTTGTTTTTGCTGCAACAAAGAACTACCTGCCACCCTTCAAATTGGTGGTTTTCAACTCATTCTCTTACCTGCATTTTCAAGAAGTGATGCCTACAGCTTCAGGTCTATACCTGGCAATTCATAAGTAGTCTAGGAAGATGGGGTTTTAACAGTTTCTCATGTTTAGATTTCATTATAATGATTGTCAGTGGAAACTTTTATTTCAGTTCAGTGTCTCTAATTGACCGGCATGCTTTTTGGCAAAGTTTGTCAATAACCGTAGACTATGGTCACACTGGCAATAAGAACTGCATTTAAGCATCATTTAAATTGATTTAGATTTTATTGTTCACACAATGCAATTTTTCCCAACTGGCCAGCAGGGGCTTTTTAAAATACATTGCTTCTAAAATCGATTCAATTCAATGTGCCCTTGTCGACATCTTAATTTGTGCCTATGTGGGTTTTGGCTGGCAGGGGCACTGCTTTTTTTTCTTTTTACTGTTTTTTTTTCTTTTTCTTTTTCCTAAACTGTTTATTGCTGTATCACTTCATTTGGCACTATTCATTTGGTAGTCTTCTGCTGGTGGAGCAGCAGAAGACTACCAAACACAGAGAGGGTGCACCTGGACATGGAGGATAGTCAGCGCTCCAAGAGCATTGCCCCACAAAGCAGCTGGAAGCCTCCCCTCCCTTTCTCATTTTTTCATCATTCATCAGCTGTGATCATCTCTCCATGCTTTCTAGCAACTATTACGACACCAGGTGGCATCTCCTAGCCATTCAATCTACCAATGTATCACTTTATTTTGGAAAACAAAAATCAAAATCTTGAAGAATTGTATGCTCCTGAAATGAAAAGGAATTGAGTCAATTTCAGCAGTGTAGACACAAAAAACAGTTAAAATCACCAGAAATAGCCGCTCAGAGTGGTATAGATTTACCAGATGGGCGGGGTATAAATAAAATAAATAAAATAAATAAATAAATAAGTAAATAAATAAATAAAATACAATGATTTCCATTCAGTGCATGAGAACACGATCATTTATTTAAATATGATGTAACTTGAATCTAATTTTTAAAAAGTCTGAACTGAAATAGATTCAAATTGACAATGTGACCACAGCCTATGTTATAATGCAAAACAAAAGGCCTGTATTATTTTTATGCTATGGTCACAATTACAGAAAACAAGCTTTGTTTGATAATTATGGAGAGCTCATGTTTAATAGTTTGCCGCATGTATTACCATATTTGAAAATAGTTCAATAATATTTTTGCATCCATCTGTTGCAGTAACCAATGTGATCTTTTTAATTGGCTGTATAAGGGATGCTTCATCACACACCACCAGTATAAGCGTACAGTACAAAGATATGCATGTCTACAAAAAATAAACCCCACTGAGTTCACTGAGATTTAATTCCTTACCAGGAGGTAAATCTCACTGATCCCAGCTGCAATCAGTATACAGACATAAAAATGTATTCTGAATTACATTTAACCAAATCTTTGCATCACACTTGCAGAATTTCAAATAACTAACCTACATAGAACTCTAGAACTGAAATAGACCTCAAGCACCATTTAGCCCAACCCCTAATGATGCAGGAACCATAAATATATTTACATGAAAGTAAGCTGTTTTGATTTGTTGCAATGGAGACAGACTTCAGAAATTACTTTCTCCACATCGCCAGTTCTAGTGGGCACCAGCTGCCATTGATTCTACCCCAAGAACATGTTTTAAAAGCTCAGGAACAGTTATGTAACACACATGTGGTCTGCATAATTAGTTTATTTCAATCATACACAAATACTGTGCCTACACAGGCAGGACCTTACAATCCTTTTAAACAACTTAGTTTGGTGCTCTTAAAATATATTTAATTTTTTTGGTGTTTATTCACAATTTTTTTTAAAATGCACTTTGCCACAAGAACTTCATGCGATGAGACTGTGGGTTAAAGAAATTATTGTTGAACATCACATTCAAAGATCCAAGAAGATTTGTTTTCATTTCAGGTTGATGATTTAGCATGTAGCTAAAAAAATACTTTTTTTCTTGCAAAGCTATTTTAAAAAATCAAAGAGATAAATTTGCCTAAGAAAGCAAAGGGAGCTGAGGTCTTTTTATTTAACAGTGGCCTTCTCAGCAGGGGTGGGGGAAAGATTCCTTAAGCTAACAAGATAGTGACAATCCAGGACAAGTTCTTGTTATTCCCCTAAGGCAGGGGTCTCCAAACTACAGCCCGTGGGCCACATCCAACCCACACTGCCGTTTTGTCTGGCCAGTTGCCTTCAGCACGCATGTGCAGGGGTGCAATGGGGCGGTGGTGCAGGCATCCATCTGTCTGTCCATGTGGGGTGGGTGGGCAGGGGACCTGCAGGCATCTGTGCATGCATGCAGGGGGCAGGCAGGGGTGTGTGGGTGGGTGTGCATGCAGCTGGATGGGCAGGAGTGTGTGGGTGGCAGTGTGGGTGAGCAGGCGGGAATGTGCCCACACGTGCATTACTTGAGTTCTCGAAAATATCAAATATTTATTATGTGGTCCTCCATGTGAAATGTTTGAAGACCCCTGCCGTAAAACAAGTTGCTGATAACTTTGTTAACTGTAACTTGTTGCTTCCACATCTATAATCTATAAAATACTACTTTATTGTTTCTGGCCACAGGTCTTTACAATATATATGAATTTTAATTTAAAAACAATTGTAATAGCTCATTGGGATGCATATCATCAGTCCCATCATAACATCCTTCAAAACAAACATCTAGACTCACTGATCATAGTGGTGGTATGATCCTTAACAAAAGAAGAGTACAGCTTCTTGGCTGCCACCACAAACTATGCCACAGCATATATAATAGATAACTGATTATCAGTGAGCAATCCTAATACTGCTTCCACAGAAGCATGGTTGACAAATGGCTGGATGATAGGTGACAAAAATATTTCTCTAGGATCTATTTAAAGGGGACAAAATGATGAATTGTATCTTCAGTCTGATTACGCTAGCTGCACATACTCATGCACTACAAACAAGGCCTTTATTATATTTACCCCAAAAGCTAAGGTAATAACTTCCCCTTAGGGAAAACTGCTAAGTTTTTTCCCTCCTGAAATTATGGAAAGGTTTTGAAACCAACTTAATCTGAGAATCTATAAGACCTTACAATGTTAACTTAAAGTAATACTAGCTAACAAATTTTCACTGCCTTCCACCAGAAATTAACACCTGTAACAACAACTGGGTGACATAAGAAACAACCCGTATTATTTAAACAACTGTGGCATGGTATATTAACAAGGCTAACATCAAACAGTGTAGAAACCCAATCTTTACGTGAGTGAAGGGACAAGTTCCCATGAACTGGAGAGCAAAAACACCTCACTTAAAAAGTAAAATTGAGGCTAAAGTCACTGCTGTGCCCCAAATGCATAAGCTGAGCCTTCTCTGGTAGGCAGAGGGCACCACGCTTGTCTACCTTTATAGTGTGGGTATCTGTAATCTACAAAATCTCTCACTAGCTGGCTCTGAGGCAGAGAGAACCAAAGCTTCCCTCTGGTAATGCCTCAAAGTGCTTAGCCAAGAGCCAGTGTCCCTCCCCTTGCTCGCACTATGCTCCAGGAATGCCAGTTAAATGCCAAATATGAACATTAATACTTCTTTTATATGCTGCACCAAGTGAATGTGGCTTCAAATAGACAAAAAAATGTGCACTCTCATGCCATTTCAAAACACACGCTGAAAAATCGTACTTTAACCCCAAGAAAAAGGGACTAGAGTTTTATGAAACATAGTCTAAGTCCAAAAATAAATAAAATAAAAAAAAAAGAAAAAGGGAGTAGAGTTTTATGAAACATAGTGAGTGGGTGGGTTGTCACCAAGAACACAGGGTCCCCGTGTTCAAAGCTTCAAATAAGACTACATGGTTTTCTCATATGCCTGAAAACAGACCTTTCTTTCCCATGGAGGAGCTGGAGAGCAAAAACAGCTTTTAGAGTACAAATGTTTCAAACAGGGTTAGGGCCACAGACAATAATAACCTTTTGTCAGATTCCAGAAATATATTCTAAAAACAGTCCATACATTTTTAGACATGAACATCACTTTGAACCTGCAGAAGTTTAATGTTAATTTGACAGATATACTTAAGAGTAAATAGTCAATAAGCTTTTACCACCACTGCAGTTTAAACAACACAGCAATACTTTCAGGGTTTCATGTGAATGAAGGCAATGTGCATGCTTAAATTGCATTAAAGTTTACTTGCAGTTGGAAAGGGAAGAATTGGACACAAAGGGCAGAAATTTAAGCCACAACTTGGATTTTACAAGTTCTTAACCATGCCAAAAGACTTATACAGTACTTCAAGGTAGGAAAGATAAGCATACACCATGCACCATCAGTCAAAGGACAGAAGATCTTACTACTTTAGTTTGACATGAATGTCTCTTCTACCAATGCCAAATAATTTTTTGGACATGAAGGCAGATTACAGTAATGTATATCCCTAGCCCATGATTAAATTCAATACATTCCCCTTTTTGCTCCCCCTCCTTTTTTTCTCATCCCCTCTTTCCTTCCCTTTGGTTTGAAACAAATAAAATTAAAAATGTCAAAAAGTTACAACTAAAGTAAAAACTATGAAACAAGAGTTCAGTTACGTTAGAGGCTGCAATCCTATACTAACATACTTTGAAGAAAGTCTCACTGAATGGAAAAAGGATTTACTTAGGAGCAGACAAGCCAAACAGTAGCTATAGTTCATTGGTTCCATTGGGTATTTGCTGTAATTCACTTCGCTAGATAGTTCTGAATGACTTTACTCTCCTGAAAAACTGAGAAGTATCTTACCCAATCTGTTTTCTCTGGCTCTTTTTTATCTGCCTGTAGTCGATAACAGTTTTCCCTTGCCAGTTTGTGGACAAGTTCGAGGCGCCCAATATCCTCTCGTTCTTGCAGCTTGCACATAACTCCTGCCTTGAGATTTGGAGGAAAAGTGAAGAAATACTTAAATCCGCAATCCCAGGACATGACATTCACTGTGTTTTAACTTTAAAAAGAAAGTATCTTCCCCATCACTCTCTCTTAACTCTGCAGCTCTGTGCTAGAAACAATTGTAATTGTTTGTTGGAAGGAAACACAAGAAACGTTCTCACAGATCACACGCCTTTTGCACTTTGCTATCTGCTTAGCTAAACGAAGACAACATGAACTAACCCAGCTACTGTTATGGGTACAGCTGATATGCTAGCTTGTGTATTTGTTCCCGTCATCCTATTTCCTGTTACATAAGAGAAGCATAGCAAGAGGTTAGAAATACATGGGAAAGTTAGCCAAGAACAGCCCTAGAAAAGGATGGAGAGCAAGAGAGTCATCCCTAAAAATAACAGCACAAGCTTCTACTTCTCACACTCCACCCTTCTTTGTATGCATAACGTGTAGCCACTGAAGTATCATAATACAAACAGCAGCAAGCAAATACATAAAAAACATTTTTTTTGCATTGCTTCAAAAACATCAGAGCTAGAAAAGGCATAAGCAAACATTTTGTTTTGTGGGCACAATTGTCAAATGAAAGAATTAACCTAACATTCCAATATTTTTTTTAATATGTGTGTCTGACAACATACATACTGCTGTACATTAAAATAACAGATTACTGTTAGAGGACAATGGTGATAACCCACATGCCATTTTTTGAAAACCGCATTGTCTATTTTAAAGCTAACAATCTAATCAACAACTAGTGCCACTTCAATCATGTAATCGTTTCCAGGTTTATTCGTGAACAGCAACAAATTAATCTTCCCATTTCTAATGGTTAACACCAACAAATTCATTTGGAAATCTAATATTCCCAGCAGTAGTATCTGAATGGGGAAATACTAGGCAATACCATGGATCTCCCTGTAAATGTAGAAAATAATCCTGGTTGAAATCCTGGACAACCTCTATCAATTCACAATTTTGAGCTAGTCTTGTATTTTTACAATAACCATGTGGAAGAGAAGCAACATGACTCTTCTGGCTGGACTCTCCTCCCCCCTGCATATTAAAAGAGCACAACAGGACCTATGCATGTGTCTCTGAACTAGAACTCTAGTGGGAGGCCCATAAATCTTCTCCAAGAGGAGGACCTTCTTTGTGGTAGCTTCATCTTTGTGGAATCAGCTCCTGGAGGAATTTTGCCTGCCCTCCTCCCTGTTGCTGGTCAAGAGGCAATTCAAGACATGGCTCTTTAGAGAGGCTTTCCACTCCAACCCTAGTTCAGCTGAGGCGATCTTACATCTCCTTTCAGTTACTGCTATTTTTATTTTTATTTTCATGATTTATCTTTTGCTCAGTTTCATCATTGGTCGGGTGCCTTCTGTCTTCATGTGGTTAGCATATTATATGGCTTTTATTATATTA